GTTTTGCATGGAGAAAACCCCCCCCACCATGCATGGTGGTGGTGGCGTGGGGGGATTAAGGCAAACTGCGAGTTGCCCAAATGTGAGACGACTTAGCTTAATTCAGTCGACTTGTCAACAAGTCGGCTACATAGTGAATACCCTATTCACCATACCAGTTCAGAGTCCCTTTCCCTGAATATTGTTTTTAGTGATGACCCTGCAAAATTTGAAGTGATAGGAGCTAGAAGCTACAATTTGAGGTATTCAGATTAAGCCTAAAATATTTAATAACATACTCTGCATGATTCATATACTCACCGCCATCCCAGATGGGGCAGACCACCTTAATCCATTCAGAAACATGGCCTCAAAGTTAGAGGAGTTGTTAAATATCTGACTCTGTTTCAGTTTTTTGCAAGCTGTCTTTAAATAGAAAGCTTGAAATTAATTACTGAACCAAGTTACAAACCAAAACTCTCATTCAAAGAAGCTTCTGATGACCCAGCAATTTTTTAAGAGATGGTGGGAAGGAAAGATTATTCAGGCCAAAGATTAATTGACAGAAATAATTGACAGAAATAAAAGATTAATGTTCACAGCAGAGTCCATTAAAATCTTCAATCTAAAATCTTTTTTTTTTTTTTTTTTTTTACACATTAGCTCTACTTGAGGACAGCATGAGAGAAGAGGAGTTTTAAGCTCCCTTCTATCAAACATCTAAAAATATTATTTCACACTGCACAGTACGTGTTCACCCATGTGATGTGTATTTTTGCAGGTAAACCCATTGTTAAACATTCTTTGTGGGTGTATTATATTACAGCTGAATTTATGACACAGCAAACTGTACACTGGTTTGTCATTAAGAAGGATATTTGGAGTGTTTTTGTGGGCTTGTTTTGTTTCCCAGATATTACGATCTCAAATCCATTGGTGGTGTGTAAACAGGCAATTAACAAACAAACAGTAATTAGTTCATGTAATTGTTCTCCATTACATTTCTCAGCGGCCAAACTGTTTGACAGGCAACCCAAGTACTGTTGCCTTGTAATTAATAATATTTGCTTATTTTTATTTTACCCCTAGAGGGGGCAATTTATTGTAAATAAGAATTGTGAAAGAAAAGAAAAATACTAGAAAAATGAAAGGCATCATAAAAAGTTAAAAAGCATACTAACATCTCATTTTTATTATTTCTAGTCTTCTGCCTGCAATTAGTACATATTTTTGTATCTGACCCAATCAGTGGTTTATGGAAATGAAGTGAATTTACCTTCAAACAGCCAGCGATGTAGGTTCCGTAAACAAATGTGTAAATTAGAGGAATAAGCTGTTCCATATGGTCACTAGCAGATGTTTCTTTCAAAATTCACATATCTTCCTATATCTCCTTATTTGTGGATAATGTAGAGGGGAATTGTGTTAGAGCTCTTATTTCAATTGTTTTTAGTTTGTTGTTCTCCAGCAGCCTCCACAGTCACCGAATCTCTATTTATAAGACACCCCTTTGATGCAATGCAAAAGAAGATTTGCATTGGCTGAATGTTTGGCCACATCATATTATATAGATATTGAAAAAATATCTGAGAAATGTTTGGTTTATTTCATGAATAGTTAAAACAGTTTTTTACTAGATCTATCAAGTTTAGAAATCTTTAACTGAGTTGCCATATATTACTGCTGTCAGTTCTCCTTACACACAAAGCCACTTTTATATGATATATATGTTTATACAAGAAAAAAATAACCTAAGTTTTCCAAAGCTTTAAGGCTCAAGAAAAAACCAATACTGTTAAATCATTAGGAAAAAAATATCCTAAAATCCTCTCACTGTATAGTCGTATTAAAATCTGACTAAGATACTAAAAAGGAGAAAGAAAAACAGTTGTATAAAATGCGTGTTTTCCCTCAGATGGTTTCTGTTTCATTTTCTTAATATTATGTGACCAAGAGGGGTCTGCATTTATTAGACACAATATCAAATTACTGGTTTCCCCTGTGGCTGAATGTAATCCCATTTTAGAAATACATCTGGGCCTCGACTGGTTCATTTCTTTTTCACCACTTCGAATTATGTGACTTTCTCAAGCCGGTTTTTTGTTTGTTTTTTGTTCGTTGCTGTTGTTTTTTTTTATTTTTTTTTTGGTGTACCTTTTTCCTGTAGGAATGAAAATGTATTTTATCCTAACTCTTCTTAAAAATTGATTAGAAGAATACATTATTGATTAGATTTTGCATTCATAAATAGGTTTGTTTCCTTTGGTACGCTGTATTGTTGCTGAATACACCCTGTTTGCATTGCTTTGTCTTAATTTTTAATTGTGCATCCTTCATAAATTATGATTTATAGGATTATGGAAAAAAAATTTCAAGTTAAGCTGAAAAATGCGGCTTAAAATCTAGTCATGCAATGGCGGGTGCCACCATTTTCAATGTAAACATTACAATGCAGATGTACAGACAGGGATCTGGAGCAAACAAGTCGTCGCTATGTCCTGTATTTGTTCTGTCCAGTCACTGAACCAGATTAGTCCAATCTGTAGAGTGAATTAACCTGTTCAGATTTGACTCACCTGGTTCAGGCTCTCCAGAGACGCATGGCTCAACACAGCCGGGCTACCTCCTCCGGACAAGATACGGCAGTCTATCTACACCTTATGGACAAAGGACATTCTTTTAAGGAACAGAATGTTCATATTTTGGACAAAGAAGACAGGTGGTTTGAAAGGGGTGTGAAGGAAGCCATTTAGGTTAAGAAAGAAAAAAACAACTATAAACAGAGGGGGTGGACTCAGGATTCAGCATTCAACAACCTACAATGCAGCAATAGAGCTGATTCTCCCTCGCTATCATGGCAACCCCCACCCCCATACAGGGGACCAAACATCTGGCCTGTTCAGCCAGGCCAACAATTCCCCCTAACGACCCCCTTTGAGAGGCATAGACCAGTATTGGTATTGCAGGCTAACAAAGAACGACTCCCCATTTCTAAGGGGCGGACCCATTCTTCCGCTTCAACTTGCATGTTTTCTAAGCAAAAACAAGCCGTTGTTTTCGTCAACTCTATAAAGCCTTGAACTCAACACTAATTCTGACATTTTGATTTGAAAAAGTTTCCTGGATTGGAAGCGAAACGTCTTCAAACTTGGAAACAAAGTCCGGTGGATTGTTTAACGTTTTGGAATCACCTGGTTCAGTGGCCGGGCAGAACAAATACATGACAAAAGGATGACTTCTTGACTCCAGATCCCCCATCCCTGGCAGAAAAACATCTAGATAGTGCTGGGCACTGGAAATTTAGGACTGGAATTGAGGAACCCAGGTCTATGTCCCACAATGAGGCACAGCTAATTACAGAATATGTAAGGCAAGGCAAACCTTTAATGAAAAGAGTAAACAAAATAGATTATAATGAATAGTGCGAATAAATGATAGTAGGAGAGTGAAGAAAAGTGATCAGCGTAACTTCCAACAGCCTAAGCCTATAAAGGCATAACTAGATAAAGAAGCGTACGGTGTGGTATTGGTGCCAAAATGAATACCCTAACCATAGAGGTGCCTACTTCCTTAGTGCAGGAGGCTATATCCATTCCGATGCCCGCTACTGATCTGATCTATGATAGGATGGCACCGGTAATGGAATGGCTGGTTCCAGCAAATGAGTTGATGAAGCTAGTAACTGAGAGGCTAGTGACTAGAATGATTAGGCTGGTCACTCCCTGTATTGCCTACTTCCTCTGCTTCGCATTAGCACAGAAGGGCTGGTTTCAGCCTTGGCTATGCTGGTGTTAGCCTTGGATAGGCTGGTGTTAGCCTTGCATTGGCATGTCTTTCCCATGAGCAATGCATTTCAAACAGATTTTAACAGTTGATACAATAAATTTAAGAATTATTTCTGGAACAAAAAGTGCTAAAACCTTTCCAGTTGTTTCAGTATTACTATTATTGTTAGTGAGAATACTGTTAAGCTTCAGCTGTTAGCGCTTTTAACATTGAACAAAGACATTAAATGATAATTAAATTTAACAACTTGATTGCACACACAGTGAAAACACTCCGATCATCTGCAGAAGTCAAGAGTACAGTATGTGCACCTGATAACGTGTGTTGATGGGGCTCAGTATTCTCTCCTTTTTGACTCACCCTTCCCATTTTTTAAGTTGCATTTCTGGAGAATTAAAAAGATTGAATATTAACAGGGATTCAATAACTATAAAAACAGATTATTGAAAATCAGTATGCTTTGCACATGTGTAATCCAACATGTACATCCGTAATGTAACAGTAGGCAATTCGATGGCAAAGGCCTGTGTCAGTCAGTGTAACACAGCTCCACTAGAGTTGAGGCAGAGTCACGCACTGCCTCAACTATTTTTTCTCCCATTTATTTCAGTGGCAATTTGTAAAATCAGAGATTTCTATCCTAAAACAAAATTATATTTATACAGATAACAAATTCATACAGAAATTTCAAATTTCCATTGAATCATGGAATTTTATTTTTCACAATGACAGGTGAGGCACTGCCTTACTTGCTACCCCTGACTGCACATTACTGCACAAACCCCAAGATGAACCCTCATGTCTGTCTGGTCTAAAAAAGCACTTTGCACTGTGAGTGTTTTTTATGACTAAACATACAATATGCAAGTAAAGTCTATTCACCAATCGACATGATCAGGGTCCTTTCATACCACCCTGATTACTTTAACACATCAGTAGCTACAATGAAAAGATTTATGGTGCTCTGGATGTTAATAATAATGTACAAATTAATAGAATGGGACAAGAATTAAATTCCGAGGCTTCTGATAATCCAGGTTACTTAGCTTTAACAGTTTTTGCGTGACTATCACATCTTAACTTCAAAAGGTTCGTCAAAATGGTGGCATGTTCATTGTATTTCTTACCTTACTCCTTAGTAGGTACTACTCCAACCATGAACAACATGTACACTGCAGGCGATATACGAAATGATTAAGTTGTTGATTTTTTTTTTTTATTGTGTGTGTTTTTAGGTCTCTACAGGACTTATCAAAGCAGACTGAATTGCCTTACGGAACAGTGTTGGATTCTGCAGTATATGATCAGGTACGATCAAAGGCTATGAACCCATTTGAGCGAGATCCCATGTACTCCCAGATGTGGCGGATGATTAATCGCACTGGAGGAGCAGATAATAACGTTGAGGAGTCGAAGGAAGGTATTCGCAAGGTAGGCTTACCCCTTTTTAAATTTGTTAAGACCTTTGGCATATATAGAAATAACAGTGGTTATTAAAACAATTATTGGAGTCAAAAGACTCATGTGATAAATTTACTATAAATGGGACCAGGTGCCAGGAAGCAATATGACTCCGGTTATTTATTACTCAGTGCAAAGCATTTCAATTCAAGCTACATAGCTTTTGCTGACATTTGATCACATCATTTTTGAAAGCATGCATAAACCTCCATAGCAGCTTTAGACCTTGATGCATTCATCATTATAGAGTTATTTTTTTTTTTAGGTTTTACAGTTTTGAATAGAAAAAATTCTTCTGCATCAGAAATAAAATTGTGTTATGATTCATGATAGATTTTGAGATATGTAATATTCCACATTACAGTATTTATTTTATATTTTCCTTTGAAAAGCTAAAGGGTACATTTAGAAGTAGGTTTATTTTGTGTGCGCATTTCTGGAAATGAAGACTAGTCATATTTTCAATCTGGAAGACCCTACAGAGTCTTAGCTGCACATCACGATTAACCTGTCATCCAGATCTACCAATGCCAATCTTCTCCTGCTCTCCAGGCCTCCTTTACAGCCTACTATAGCATCAAAGTCTCTCCTTTAAAAGCTGCTTCTTCAGGGGCAGGTTCCTGCCTCCAACCAGCTGCAACCCACTTCAACCTTCTTTAACACCCTGTTCTACCTCCTACTTAATTCAGCTCCCCTCCTCCTTCATCTTCAATTTCACCGCTAGTATCCAGGCCCCAAGGGGAAGATATCATAAAACTGCCCAAACTATCATCTTCAGCAGTGCTCAGCTCCATCTCTTCTTTTGGGGTCTGAGCCCCAAAAACAGTTCTATCAATTAATCTAAAAAAACACTCTAAATGCCTTCTTGTCTTATTGTGAGTCTTTTCATGTTAATTTTTTTTTTTTTTTATCTTGATAAACAGCAATTAGTTGTTATAGATAACGTTATATCTGTCTGAATCTCCAGGGCCCCATTTCAGAATGCAGGAAATGCAAAGCCCAAAGTTTTTGGTTTATAAAAACCTAGATAGACGTTATGAGTCAAGTTACTCCATAAAGCAACTAGAAGCAGGATTTGTTGAATTTCTCCATCTGTCGCAATTTTGAGACCTGAGATGAAGGAGGCATCAAAAAACGGTGCATTTTCTGTCAGAGCCTTTAGATATTGGAGAGCAAATCCCCTTTAGGCTCCTTGTTATTAGATGCATTTTGAATTCCACATTTATAGATTTTTGAGCATCACCGTTTTCACCAGTCAATATTTTATCTCAATTAAATTTCAGTCACAAATTCCTTATATGACACAATAATGACAAGTTCTTCAGTGTGTTTTTATGCAGAGGGCAAAATGTCAGTAATGTAACACAAAAGTGTTACAGTTTGTGAAAATCAATGTGTTTTAAACACTGAAAAGCTTCTGCTTCGTTCAACTTTATTTTCCAGCACAGCTTTGCAGACAGAAAAGCCGCAAAAAAAATTGCAGAATGATGAACCCCTCCTAATTATTGCCTTAGGGAAGGCAGTAATTAAGTTAGATATCACATTTTGAGATTTAATCAAAATCTGTTTATATATTATTAGGTTTTCAGGCATAATTGGAAGGATATATTCTATTCATATTTATTAAAGTTTATTAAACATACTTTTTAATGCTTGTTACGTGTTCTGTTTGATAAGTGTTTCAATGTTTTCTTGTAAATATACCTTGTTCAGCAATTTCATATGCAGTTTTATGGACATGAAAATGTCTCAATATCAGCCGATTGTCCGCTCTTTTTTTGCTTTCTTTCATGAACTAAGGTTTAACTTTGGACATATTATTATTTATATTTGCAAAATAAAGCCAACGAATGCCTAGCAGTTCAGTTGGCAAAGCTTAAACATATAACTAATAACTGGACCTTACTTGATTTAATTGCATTTGTATATTCTACATTGATTTACTGCTATGTCATTTTTTCACCTACTGAGTTACACCTAGATGCATATACAGTATCATGTGAACAAACATATTATTTTTAAATATTTGATGAATGTAATATTTATGATATCATTTTGATTCCCAAAAATGGTCCTTGCCTAAATCTTATTGTATGCAGCTGGAATGGTTTAGCTTTTTGTATAAAAACATGTGGTAATATTCTCCATTCATTTAAACAGCATATTTTTTTAATGAAAATTTAGGCTAAAGGGTAAAACTGGAACATTTCTTAATTTCTTGTTTTGTGTTACAACCATTGTTTATTTTTGATCATTTTAAATAGAGGACAGTTAGTATTTCAGTATCTAGCGATGATTTTCTTGTAATCTTCCGATTATAGTATATTTTGTATTTAAGATGTACAGCTTGTTTAAGATGCATCGTGTTTGCAATATGCCTATAATCTACACAGATTAGCCGCTGTCCTCTTTTTAAAAGCTTGTATTGCTGCAGGGTCATTATGGTGGATGGGACGAGATCCATGTAAATTATGTTGATGATGCACATGTAGTATTTACAATGCTTAATTCCCTTGATGATTGCCCAGCAGCATAAACACCTTACTGCTGCACCTTATTTACATGCTTTAAGCTTGCTGTTTGTAATGTACTTTAGCTCAAACATTTAACATTTCCTCCCCCTTCAAAATATATTAGATTTAATATAAAGGCAGCTCTGGGAGAGATGGAAGGAGTGATTAAAGGGCACCATGTCTCTTTTCATACTGTGCAATTAAACTGCCACAAGAAACAAGAAAAAAAAAATCAGTCCAGCAGCAAAGGTTTTCCCAAACTAAAACAAACTGATTATCTTTGTGAGTGTTTCCTCCTGTTTAGTTATTTTCATTGATCTTAATTCAATCGCACTGATAACTTTAGCTACCAGAATGATATAATAAGAACATATTTTTATTGATCATCTCATTCTGTAGCCTCTATTTCTATATATTACAATCAGGAACCTTACACATGAGAGTACATGTGGTATGTGTATAACTATGATGTACACTCACCAGCCACTTTATTAGGTACCCCATGCTAGTAACGGGTTGGACCCCCTTTTGCCTTCAGAACTGCCTCAATTCTTCATGGCATAGATTTAACAAGGTGCTGGAAGCATTCCTCATGGAGTTTGGTCTATATTGACATGATGGCATCACACAGTTGCCGCAGATCTGCACATCTATGATGCGAATTTCCCGTTCCACTGTGCGTTCAGAGATGCTCTTCTTCCCACCTTGGTTGTAACGGGTGGTTATTTGAGTCACTGTTGCCCTTCTATCAGCTCGAACCAGTCTGGCCATTCTCCTCTGACCTCTGGCATCAACAAGGCATTTCCGCCCACAGAACTGCCGCTCATTGGATGTTTTTTCTTTTTCGGACCATTCTCTGTAAACCCTAGAGATGGTTGTGCGTGAAAATCCCAGTAGATCAGCAGTTTCTGAAATACTCAGACCAGCCCATTTGGCACCAACAATCATGCCATGTTCAAAGTCACTCAAATCACCTTTCTTCCCCATACTGATGCTCGGTTTGAACTGCAGGAGATTGTCTTGACCATGTCTACATGCCTAAATGCACTGAGTTGCCGCCATGTGATTGGCTGCTTAGAAATTAGGTGTTAACGAGCAGTTGGACAGGTGTACCTAATAAAGTGGCCGGTGAGTGTATAGTCTCTTGTTTTGTCTAGTTATTTGTTTTGAGAGGTAAACATCACAGCTGACTTCAACAGTGGTGAAAGAGTTTCCTCTTTTAATATATATTTACCTTCTTTTGAACTGACTTAGATACTATAGTAGTTATAAAGTTTTGCTTTTCTATGTCAATGCTCCCTTTAGTGTGCACAGTATAGATGCAATAGAGCAATAGCAGTTTTATTTTGTTACTTTGTTTAGCCAAATTTGCTGTGGATATGTCATGTGCATCATGCGAAAGAAATAAATCAGCATCCCAGATTGTGAATTGAGGAGATAAATAAAAGGCTGTTGAGATGCAGCCTTTCCTTGTTTATTGTGTAACTCATTTCTTCTCCGTTTGTACAAGTAATAATAACTGGACTCCCAAGACTGTTTTCTGCAAGCTAGCTTATTGTAAAAAAAAAAAAAAAAGAAAAGAAAAGAAAAGAAATCTGCCAGCCTTGCATCTTAGACCTGAATGAGATTTTAGATAGAGGTATAAATCTGTTGTTGAGTTTTTCTAAAAATAAAAATTCTATTAAAAAAATAATAGTCACCACACGACTTTTGTTTTTAAGTTTGCAAGGATCCTTTTTTGTATTTTAAAAGTCAGAGTAAATGTCCGCATGGGTGGGTGGTTCATTAATCAACTGCAGAGACTGTTGAATTTTCTATGTATGAGTAGGAAGGTCTGAATGAAGGCTTGCTTGCCAGAGGTGAGCCAGTCTACAGGAAAAGATAGAAAATCTCTGATTTACCCATGTATTATTCCTGGCTTCCTTTTACCGCTGCCTCTTGTTCTCCTCACGGCTGAATATTTACAGATGCCCAATTCATGTGGTATTCTGTGACACAGCTCTTATTTTGTCCACTTGACCTCCATCCTTCGTTCTACCCTTTTTTCTTCTGCCTTTTTAGTGTTTCCTTTTCAGAACCTCCTTTTGTATCTTCAGCAGTCTATTATGCATCCACATTTTGTCAAAAGCTACAGGGTGCACTCTAGTGGTTCCCTAATTCATGTCTTAACTGCATCACCACATGGCAAAGAGAGCACCGTCAGCAACACAGCTGTCAATATGATTATATGTTTGAAACTCCAGTAAATCTAACATAGCAGTTAAAAGATGTATTTTAGATTCCTCACAAGCACAGGGCTTTGTTGGCTCCTGTTAAAAACAAAATTGTTAGATTCTATATAATTGTATCTTTTAGGATTTACATACGTGAATAAACAACACCATGGAATGGCACTCTACAGTGTCTATGTTTCTTCTCAAGCTGAAGGTTTTTTGGGAGGACATTGTGTTATTAACG